GTCATTTTTTCCTCGTACGCCCTTCTGGCTCTTTCTTCTTTGTGCCTTTCTGCAGTTATCCTTTTCTCTTCTTCTTCCCACCGTCGCATATCCTCTGCACTTCTCATCCTTGACGTCCCTTCCGAGAGATGTTGGCTTTCAAGCTCCCTATGCTTATCAAGACTCGACAAGTCAATAATTTTCTTCATTTTCCGGTATTCATGGCCAACACTTCCTTCCTGGCTAATTTCATCCACATTAATAATCTCTTTTGGCTTTTTAATAATAATTTTCTTATGAGACTGTTCTCTCTCACCCTCCATTGGTGGCCTTATTACTATAGAGGGCTTATGTGATTCAACCTGAGAATCTTCGGGTTTCGTCTTGTTTGAAAAAATTATCTTATTGACTTTGACAGCAGCATTATGTCCTGTTTCAGCATCTGATTTAACTGGTTTGTCAGAAATTTGTGGGGCCACAGGAGTGAGTTTATCAGAAAGATTATCCGTTGACCCACATTTGACCTTCAGAACTTTTGCTTTTGCACTAGGCCTATCGTCTTCCTGTGCTTCTACCACAGCAATTTTTGTTGCACTTTTCTGTACGAGCTTTCTAGGAATAATTTTCTGAGGGGTTGGCTCGACTTGATCAACATAATTAGGTTTAGGTTTCCCAAGGGCCATATCAGGATCCATTCTTTCGACTCGTGTTTCTGAATCTTCCCCGTACTTAGGGCAGTTCTTGTTGGTCCTCATATGACCAAGCTGGCACATCAAGAAGTATAGACTAGTAGATATACAATGTCCAGGAAAAGTACAGAATTCTGCGAATAGTAACATACCTGGCCACAAGCCCCACATACAAAACTCTCTCTTGCTGATTTCTTTTCCTTGATTATCTGATTTTCAAGCAGCAGCAGTGTCAAGGTACAAAAAAATAAAATTAAATGTCCACAAGTTGGGATTGAAAAGACAGTGGGTATATTCACAGACAATCCACCATCAGTAAGTCCTGAACAAATTTGGTATACTTAAAACTTCGTACCATACATAGTTAAACTGCATACCAAACATACCCTTTATGCACAAGAAGGGAAGGACACTTACCTTCATTCCATCCCCTAATATTCTAACTTTTTTATGCAGTAACCCCATTTGTTCGATGTCATTCTTTCTCTTCGGTTTTACTTTTGCCGATAGGTTCCTTCTAGCAGAAAAATTCTCGATCTGAACCAATCAGTGAAAAATTAAAATTATCAGAGTTTTACACAGAGAACCCATACTGTAATGATAAAATAAAATGTAGGCACTCTCAATGTCAAAACGCATTGCAAACTGAACAGTACAAAAAACAACGTTTTTGACCTCTCTTTGATTTTTAGTAATTTCCTTAAATGCAAAGGATCCCTCGGACTGGGAGGTTTTTTTAACAACTGTGGAGTTCTTCTTAATTCGTTCACTGCTTTCAGGACCAAACATCGATTTTGAGGCCAGTCCCACTTGCTCCCCAAAAGCTCGCTCTTTTTTCTTCTTTTTCCTTTCATCTTCTTCATCTACAGATAATTTTAACGGTCAGATGTTACCATCAGAATACATCCATTACAAAATAGACTAAAATAAACACAGAGCATGCATCCCAAGCATAAAAAGTTTACATGTATGTATATCAATAAATTTTAAAATCGATAATTTTAATTATTGATCAAAGTTGAAAATAAGCAAGTCATTTTGAGAATAAGGTCAAAGTTATTTTCAAAATGACTTACTTTTTTTTTTTTTTTTTTTTTTTGCTTGAAAGTATGAAAAAAGTAAGTTATCTGAACATATTTGGAAACAAAAAGTTACTTCAAAGTACCCTTTACTTTGTTTTAAGCTTAGTTTAAGTCAAACATGCTCCTAGAACTTCAGCACCAGAGTAATAAAACGAAAAGAACTGCTGTACCAAAATAAGCATGAAATGGAATGAAAACTCAATAGCATGTGAAACGAATTGGTGAGAAATTTGCCAAAACACATTCTCCCATAAGCAAGGTTACCCTCATGAAAATTTTCTAGAATTCCCCTTGATCTTATAAACATCTTCAATCACATAAAAATGTATCCTACACTTAAAAACCCCAATCAATCAAGTAATTGTCTTGATTTCTCAATCCTAATGAAGATGAGGAATAGAAACCAAAATTGTTTACTCTTAGTTCTTTATGAACTCCAACTTTGAAGTCAATTTCATGATGAAAACAAGATAGTAATGAACATCTATGATTTCATGAGAGTCAGCCTACTACCTTCCGAGGTGCACTATTACTTTAAAATATCCTCTATACACAATTTCACAACACAAAGTTTCAAAATGTTCTCTCCAAAACACTTTAAAAATGATTCCTCTTATTAAACCTACTTATGTAACAGATCAAGCTCTTAGATAGAAGACACATATTATTTAATTTTGTTTCCAACAAGCCCCTTCACATGTAAGCCAGATTCATTGCGTATCAGAGCTGTGGACTGTGCACAATTCTCCTAAAAAGTGCGGGCTTGAGTGTTTTGCCTGAATACGATGTTGACCAACTGCCTGAATACCATGTTGACCCTAAAACCTTATAAAGAGGAGCACATTCCTCTATATAAATTTTGTCTTCAACGCCTCTTTTAGCATCAGCCACCAACACAATACCATCGGTAAAAAGAACACGCCATAGTATTGCTTACTTACAAATGACATCAGTACAATCTTTAAGTGATCAAAAACCCACTAGAATATTTTTTAGGACAACTGGTTATAGCTCTCATGTGCATATCCCTGATGACATCATTATTACCACCATGCAATGAAAGTGTGTTTAAGTTCATCAAAGCAATATCCCGCATCATCCAATTTCAATTAGATAGGCAACCATATTTGTAAATTAATTTTTAGAAGAATGCTCTGTGAACAGTTTGCTGCAAAAGATATCAAGCAACTTTTTTTTGGTTCAGTTAATGCCGAGCAACTTGAAACAGTACAATAAAAACGAACTTCATACCATCCATTAGCATCCTGCACAATTCTGCTGCTTCTGCCGCCTCATCTTCAATTTCTTCTTCTGCTTGAGTTTGAAATGGGCGACGTCGCATTTTAAGTCCTTTGACACCATCTGCACCATCATGATTAGACTCATTATTACCTTCTTCGCCCTCTTCAGCATCTAGAAGATTTTCCAAATCTCCGGCAAAAGAATCCAAGTCACTGTTTGCCTCCGATTCACTCTCATTTTCTTCAGTGTCAGCAGTAGAAAGACTTTGAACTTGCCGATCCCAAATTTCCTGACATTTTTCTCGTGTCTGCTGCTGAAGCTGCAAGAAAGACATGCGCTGTCCTCGAGCAAACTTGCTTGTTGTTGTTGGATCAACCTGAACACCGGATGCAGCTTGCTCACTTGAAAGCTTGCGTATCAAAGCAATCCTATGCCAACGAGTTAGTTTGGCAATCTGCTCTTCCGGAACTTTGAATTTAAGGAGAAGCTATATAAAGGAAGGAAAATGCAATAAGTACGATGAATACATTTAAATTATGTAATATATATTAGCTTAATATTAAACAGTATTATTTATAACCTTCTAAATAATGTCAGACCAATACCTCAGAATTGTCGGGGAGTGTTCTAACTTACCTCAAGACTCAATACAGAAGGGTATAATGAAGAAAAATGAGACACAATATTCATGGTGTCAAGCTTGTTCATTGTGTTTCTCAGTAACTAGGAATATGTATATAAACAATCTTCCAAGATTTAAGATTCCACACGGGAAAAAAATCATTTCTCCCCTTGAATTAAGCGCCAATTAAGTTAATAGACCTTGCAATTCTTTGTATTTTACAGATAGATCAATAGGCCCCTGTCCGATGCAGGGATCAGAGTTGACCTCCATATAGATTCACAATAACTCAATTGTTTCAATAATTATATTAAGAACTACGAAAAAATTAATTTTACATAAAAATAGTAAGATATAACTATATATTGTACAATCATAAAGAAAAAATAATGCCTTTTATCTCTCCGCCTCAACCCTACAAATAGTTAATTTCCAACAATGTTGTGGAGCCTAACCTTTCAGCACCATTAAGATCTTATGTAAATCATGAAGTTACGGGATTCAATTCATAAGACACAAAACTCAAGAAAACGTGCAGAAAAAAGCTCTATATCAGATTTCTTATTGTCCAACATCTACCAGAAGAAACAGGTCTCCTCACTAGGAGCACTTCATAGGTCAAATTAGCCCATAAAAAGACGGGTAATTCTAAGAGAAAGATCCCTGTTCATCTTGGACATCATGGATATACAACAAAATTGATAAAACTTCAAAAGTTTATTTATCTCCCCACTACACATGTAAATCTAACTCCCAGGGGGTTCGACATTTCATTTTCCTCTCCCCGTCTAAGACCACCACCAAAAACAATGTAGAAATGCAACACGTCAAATCTTTACCTATTAAGCATGAAAAGATTGGAATGGAAGCAAAAAAAATAAAATAAAATAAATAAAATAAAATAAAATTATCTTAAATCAACATTTTTCCATCAGGATTATCACAATTAGACATCACAGAATGGTATGAGGACCACTAAATTTTTGGGACTAGTTCCAATGCAGTCAATAAAGATCAATAAAAAGCACAAACAAAGGAGTGAAAAGGAAAGATCTATTAACGAGAACTGAAAATGTAACCCCTGTTTTATCCTCATTATCTAAAAACTCATTTTTTTTCCAAACTCATTTTCAACCATACATTTTCACAATAAAATATTTTGCACGTAAACTAAAAACTGTTTCCACTTTTTAACCACAAATTCTCCAAAAATTCACTATTACAAACCTCATTTTCATCATAAAAAGGGGGCTCAAACATAGGCTTAGTAAAAAATTATGGATCCAGAATGATTTCAAATTCTATTATATCATAGTCATATAAGCATTTGGGTGCAGCAAAACAACCACCTCTCTTGCAGCTTCCATGCTCAATCTACGCAGATCAGCATCTGTTCCAGTTACTGTTGATCCTTTGCCAACAACTGCTTTCTTCTTCACCATTGCATTTGAAATTGGGGCCTTAGGAGTTACACGAACATAACTGAAACCTAGACCCCGTCCAGAAGGGTCACCAACACCAGTAATCTCTAGACGCTCAATCTTTTCTTCATCCTGAATATCAAAGGTAAGATCAATTTCCAAATACATGATCCTAAAAATTTATTGTTTAAGCAAGTATATCACAATGTAGGCAACCCAAAAGTGCTCAAATTTAAGGTGTAAAATATGATATATTGGAGGATAACTAAAAGATAACAAACATAGCCGTTCAAGAAAAAAAACATTGATTCTTTAAAAAGTATGATGCACCGACACGGACACATGTGTCCGAACACGATACATGTCGAATACGTCGAGTCATGATTTTTCAAAAAAGTACCGACACGACACGTCGTCGACACGTTCATTAAATTCTTTAAAATTCTTTATTTATATAGTTTAAATTTAGTTTTATACTTATTATTGATTCTTTTTTGTTGAAATCTTTTAAATATAAGTACTTATTTGTTATTTACTAAAAACTTTTGAGTTAAAAATATATAATAACTATAGGAAGAAAGGAAAATGATTATTATAGAGTGTCCGAAGAGTACACGCTAACCTAGTTAGAGTGTCCGTGCTACATAGTTACTCAATTAAGCAATGCACTAAAGTTGTCAATTGCCTGCATGACAGGTTGCCCTTAAACCAGGCAAGTCTGCAGACACTTTCAAGGCAATCAAAGCTATCATTTAACAAATATTCACCACACAGTATATTAACAGAACAGATAATATACTGTATACGGTAAAGCCAAAATGTCAATTCACTTTTTTTTTCCTTACTTTTGAGGAGGGGTGGGTTTTGTCTTTCTTCCTTTACACTTTTTATTGAAGATAGGAGAAGGGGAAAGATGAAAAGGGAGTCCAGCAGAGAGGGAAGAAGATATAGCTTACCTCTTTCGTACAGGCCACAAAATTGCTGCTCAAATTCCATGGTGTTATCTGCAATTCTCTTTCAATGTGTGATGCAGCAGCTAAAGCAATTGCTTCATCTGGCAGTTGATTCATTGCAGACGAAAGGCCTGCAGGATGAGTCAGCCTAGTGATTCCTAACCGCCTAAGCCTGTATTGGCCAGCCAGCATGCTCTCATAGGCACACACCTAAGGCAATCAGTAAAAAGAAGTAATAAATTCTCTATTTCTATCAAAACAATAATAAAAAATATTCATCACCTTAAATAATAAAAATGTGCAGATAAGATGGTCGGAAAAAAATAATAATAATAATAAATAAAAAAAGAACACCAGGAGACAGTAATCCTGTTTGGGTGATTTCAAGTAGATCCTACGTCAAAATTCTTTGTGCTTTGACACAATAGGAGTGTAGCATAACAACAGATTCATGCAATGAGGTAATTTAAATTTTGACAATATCAATCTGTTGCCATCTTTTACATCCAAATGATACACAATGCATGGAAAAAGGAGGAAACTGATAACTGAACCCAGAAATTATGCCTCCCAAGGTTTTTTATCAATTAAAAAATGTAAAACACACATCTCATGACATTAACAAACTTCTAAAATCTGACAATCTTAATTGAGACAAGTTTTACAAGGACATTAACGACATAAATGAATTTTGACAAATTTTCTAATAACTTATCTCAGCCAAGAGGGATGACTCTTGAAAATACACAAATGATTCTTCCATACTCCTCTTCTTCCTTCTGTTAGTGGACAACATCTTGTCCTTCTCTCTCTTTTTTTTTTTTTTTTTTTCGACTTTCAAGGTTCAGGCAAATTTGCCAGGTCGAACATGACACTGCTTTGGTTGAAAAATAGTATGAACTATGTAGACAAGCCACCTATGTTTAAGAAATCCCGGAAGGTTTGTAACACTCCATCTCTCTGACCCCCCTCTGAAGCAATAAGCCCTTTGAACCATGATTTATCTTACTATATGATCAGAGCCAAAGATGCCAAAATGTTAACCAAGTAAAGGCATGTTAATGTCACTTGGAAGCTTATCGAAATTTAAAATATCTGCCCAACCTAGTTCCAGTTGTTTTAAGTTGGTAGGCAAACGTGGAACTTTTGCCATGAATCGTTTGTCTAAATTTTATAACTTATACACTCTTCTTCAAGTTTTGAAACTATGGATAGCCATCAATCATTGGAAGACTATATAAATATATTTAAGGTATCTGGTCCCTTCAGAGGGTCTAAACAAGATAAGCTGTTCAAAATTGACTCACATCTTCAGGTGTCACCATCCTCCTCAATTCTTCCTCGGAGGGGATGCGGGAATTGCGCCTCATAACCCAAAGAAGTTGTCCATTGGGTCCCCTCTGGTACATTGCACATGCAGGAAATATGATTTATTTTAACAAACGGAATATCAAGAATGAGCAATTTAAAGATATAATTACTGCTGTTACAACTAAATGGAGGCATGTCTTCTGCATTATTCTTTATTTCCAATTTTTGCTTCCTTTTCATTTAGTTTGTTTGTATGTTTTATTTCACTTGTTATCTTCTTGTTTTTGCGGTTTATTTTATTTTTTGAAGGGTGGGGATGGGGGGATCAAAATTGCATGATACCTGTAAATCAGCAATATTTTTCAGTTGCTTCCGAACAACAGCTTCAGAGAAGCTAGGAAATAGAGCAGACAACTCATCTGCACGTATGGAAGGATGCAAACCACGCTTTTCCGCAGCATAGAACTCTCTATACATGTAAACCAGTAGCCTCTTCCCATTATATGACTGCACAGTACCTTTTGCAGGCGATATTACTTCCATGTGAGGCTCCTGTAGATTACAGTTAGGGACAGAAAAAGGCATTTAACAGTAAAGCAAACTTACATTAAATATTTAAAATATAGCAACTGAATGCTGCAAAGCAAGATAGAAGTGAACAAATGGAAAAAGGAATGATGAGGCCAGCAACCTACACCATACGCACCGTTCTCTAAATTTGTTGAACTTGATGGGGGGGGGGGGGGGGGGGGGGGGATTAAAATAAACAACATGGCTTTGTAATTGGATTTGGTGCTTGTCTCTGGTGGATCATCGTGAAATAATAGTTGTCAGCACCTCCAATGCCCTTTAAAATTCAGTTGTTGAGGAGTACACCTCATAATATCAGCTAAATTATTGGAGTTAAGTCCCAAGAAACGAAAATAAAACAAACAAGTGAGAAAGGAGGGTTCTTTTTGTCGATATCTCATGAAGTTAAATGCTTCCTGTCCTTTCCCCAAATGAATGAGACCATTATTGCATTGTGCATCTTGTGATAGAGCTTGATGAAGTCTTGACAGTTTTAAAACATGTTTTAAAAGTATGAGGAGTGCATCAAATCCACAACAATGCAAACAGATGTGGCAAAAGTGATGGATGATCAACATAAGGCAAAACGAAATGCTGGAAAATCAACATAATGAATAAAGGTGAGAAAGCAGTGTCTTATATACCTCAACTGATTGGCAGGAAAAAACTGGAGATATGCCTCACTTTTAACAGAAATGGGAGAATCTTCCTTGAGAACCATAGTTTCAATATTAGTTATGATTTGGACCTTCTGATCCATGAGTTTTATTTTAAGTCAAGATTTATTTTCTATTCAAGTTTAATTGGGTTTTCCTTAGTAACTAGACTTATTGTTAGACTTAATAAACCAAGAGTTATATAGGTGAATGAATACCTATTCCTTCTTCCACTTGGAGATGTCTCTATGTTTATAAATACTTACGTTAGACTTCTTGCTTATGAGAATAAAATGTTATGAGAATTCAATACTTGGTGATGGTAAAATGCAACAGATTAGATTTAGAATGTATAATCAGATTCAGCAAATTCATTAGAAGTTCACATAATTAGACAATTACAGAAAAAGGTACTTTTAGAACACAGCAAATAAGAAGACAGACTTATCTGGGGAGGGGGTAGAATCAGAGGAATAAGATGTTACAATTACCTGTTGTCCAACAACATCAATCCTGTCAATACGCCTTATGGAAAGCTTGCCTTTTGCAGACCGTACCAGTAAATAATCTGTAGATGACACTTTATGCTGAAATATGGGTGACCTGTACATGTTAGTTTCAAGGCATGACTGGCTGCAACCAGGTTTTATATCTCCAAGGAAAGGAGATTTATCAGCAGGATTAAGTATGCGGATACTCCCCAAACTTTGATTTTCATTACGAAGCATACTGCCCACTTGATCACCAGGGGCAGATTTCTGATAGTACGTACAAAGTTTTGCACCCATTCCAGCATTCCCCAGGAGTAAAGGTCTTTCCTCGCAGTATCTGCATAAAAAATTTGTTTAAATAATGATTTTAGAAGTTCGAGTAAGTGGTCAGGAACCCTTTTTTACAATAAAAGAGATAAAAAAANGAAGCAGTGAGGAAAGAATTATAATGTGAAGCTTTTTGTGCTAATAGATTCTCCTCCTCATATTGTGGCGACAGTTTTCCAAATCAAATTTAATTTGTTTTGTCCTCTTCATGACTCCCTTTTTTGTTTTAGTACTGCAGCACTCATTCTGCGTTTGGGAGATTTTTTTCTCAACAAAAATAAGCATAGAAATATGTGATACTACAAAAATCATAAATTAAGACTCAAGGACCAAAAATCCGAGAAAATTACAAATGCACTTGACCCTTGAACATTATGAAAAACAAGGCTCTAAATCACCAGAAATAACGTGCTTTCAACCAAGAATGCTCTTGCTTATTGCATGACCTATTGTCATTGCTATTGGATACCAAATTCAATATGCCATGCAACCAATTAAGAGTGTTTGCATTAATTTGCCTATGCTGTATAGAAATCAAGTTAGGAACTTTTCGAGGACCGTTGGATAAAAGGTTTCTTTCTGATAATATTAGCCTATGCTTTGGTCTTGTTTAAAAACTATTTATAAATTCTCAAGTCAATTTTTATCCACACATTTCGAAAAACTCACAAGTAGTACCCACTTATTCACCACTAATTTTTATCTATTTATAATTTAAGCCGCCTATAAACACTTCCCCAAATATGCTCTTACTTTGTTAACAATGAACCCAAAGCTTGGTTTTCAAACTTCAAGCTTGTCGAGTAAGGACATGTTATATAAACCGTTCTTCACGCAATAGATCATACTAATCAAAAGCTGATCAAACACAAGAAGATACAACATTGAACATATAATTATTACCTTGATTCACATAAGATAAATGACCTTTCAATGAGAAAAATATTTAAATAACAAAAAATCTTGAAAACTTACTCCATTAAGAAAACATGGCCATCTTTCACTGAAAGATCAGATTTCTTCTTAAATGCCCCAGGAGGACGAAGAGACTTGTTCTGACCAGGAAGCTTTTGCGCTCTGGGCAGTAGATGTACTTTTGTACGAATAAGATGCAACACGGAGTTTGGACGAACATTTTGTTCTGCAAGAGATTTGTGATCTTCAAGCTCCATTCCCGAAAAATATATTTTCACTGGCTCAGATAGTTTAAAATCTACATAAGGGAAAATACATCAAGTTCGTGGTCAGGATTTTATAAAGATAGATTATACGCACACATAATGTTCAATGCAAACACACTGCAATAAATACAGGCATCACCTTATTGTAAGAAAAAGAGAACTGACCTAGCTTTTTTGATGCTTTAGCCTTAACTGACAAAATGGTTTCTTCAGCATCAACATGAAGTTTACTTCCTTTGCCTCCCAAACTCTTCAGTATAACTTTCATTGGTCCCTGTGTAGGTAGCTTTTCTTGTTCCTTGAGAGCCACCTCAATATCATGAGGATACCATAAAGCTTTCGGGCGGTGAAAATTAGCAATATCCTTGCTGAAAAGAATAAATTACTTCAACACTGGTAAAGAAATCTTAAGCTAAATATGAAATGGATATGCAAAATAATAAATCATATATGTTTCAAGTATCAGGTACATAATAATGGACTCCTAAAATAATAACAAATCTCACCCAGGTAGGAATAAACAGACAAACATGTACGTGTGCATATGTCTGATTTTGCTAACTTAATGCATAAAGATAGTTGTGTGCCGCAAATTTTTTTTGATTCAGTTTATTCCTGCCACGTCACTGAAATATGGTCAAGAAGATGGCTTAAAGTATTAATTTCAATTTTATTCTTTAAACAAAGATGGAATTTGGATTTTGGAAACCTGAACTAAAGCAAAACACCTGTGAAATACAAATGGTTGCCATCATCGGCAATAACTAGCCTTTTTCCACTTTAAACTAAGAAAAAAAATATACTAGAAGCTTCATTGATATATAAATCTTTGTTCCAAATTCACCACTCAACTAGCTTATTTGGTGACCGAGACAAAATTTATTATTTCTTGCGAATTTTCTTTAAAATTTCACATGACACTACTCCCCTGACCAACAATATCGGTATAATTTCGCTGATCAGTTTCTCATTGATCTTTGATAGGCCTCTGTCCTAGGTTTCGTATTTGACGAACTTAATTAACATTTAATGATCATTAAATATTTGAATAACGACAGTTATACTTTTCGGACTTGTATTTTGTTCCAATAAAACAGGCAGAGAAAAGAATGAAAACAAAAGGGATAGCTATTGGATGGTGGATAAATAATGCAGTACCATAACAGAGGTATTAACTAAATGCCATGGTAGCAGAGAAAAAGAGGAGAGGGCGTAAGATATTTTTTCCCCTTCTGATTAATGGCCTAGTAATCTGTTAAGGTTAAATTTGTCACAAAATTAGTTCATATATACCATGCTAAGCCATTGTGCAAAAATTTAAATTTGAAAATGAGGAACAATTAGACAACAGTAAGCTACTTGTACCATAGCGTACACAATCCATTGGACACTGCTTGCAGTGAGAGCCGCCTCAGAAAAAAATAATAATAATAAATCAATAAATAAATGAGAGAAAAATCCAATCTTGATATGTAAGTACATATGTACGCGTGTATTATGTATGCAGACATGTTGTAGCAAACTAAAAATTCAAGCAACTTGATTTCTATATTGCCTGACCTAAAAAAGAGGAACATAGAGAATACATATCAGAGCAGCACCAACCACTACAGATTGGAAATCAGCCTCAATACACAATTAACATAGATGACCGAAATAAATAAAGTGAAAATATAAACTCTTACTTGCTTAGCTTCACTTTCATAGTCTGTAGTTTAAGTGCTGGTACAGAATGCAAATTTTTATGATCGGTTCTTTTTTTGGAATGTGAGCCCCGCTGCTGAGAAGATATTCTATTTGGATAAAATTTGTCATTAGCAATATTGAACTGGCCAGCTGATATGCCTCGATGACCATGTACCTCGAGTGAATCCCCATTGCTGGGAATTACAGAACGAGCTTTGACCATAGCGCCTGCGTGAAGCCAAAGGTCCTTCGCACTCTTATTGTCCAAAAGTTCGAAAAGCATCTGATCATCTTGGAGATCAAGAATTAGCTTTGGCCTTGCAATGGATTGATGTGGTTCCCATACAATATTATCTAACCATGTTTCTCCCACTATATCCCTATTCTGTAATGTGAGGTTGCTAAAACGCTTCATGGTATCATTGCAGAGTTTTGCTTTGGAAGCATCATCGTCTCCAAAATCTGTGTTCGGGTCATCCATGTCTGCACGAGACTCTAACCTTAAAAGTTGAGGATGATATCTACCTCCCAGAAAGGAAAGATTTGCACGTCCAGAAATTTTTTCTGAGCCAAATGGTTCCACTGAAACAGAACGACTACGCAGGAAAGAACCATGATCCTTTTCATAAAGATCACTTTGAGTTTCCGGCGTGATAGCTTGTGCCTCAGCCTCAAAATCCCTTTCCCTATAGGCCAACGATTCAGAATCAGGTCCAGAAAGCTCACAACCCTCACCAACATCATTCGAAGATGGCGAGTTATTCCAGATAATCTTGTCTTCCCAATCTTGATGTTCAAGTAGGTACAGTTCGGGTAAAGGAGGTGGACTCCATTCAGTAAAAGTATTTACAGAAGAACACTTTTTCATTGGTTCAGCACTAAAACAAGAATCTTTCCTATGATCATCGACCATTGAGGCAATCTTTCCATTTCCCTGAACAGTTAAAAAGTTTTCTGACTCCAGTACATCATCCATCATGGCAATTTCACTTTTAGTCACGTATGATTCCCTCATCCCAGAAAATTTTGGCCAACACTCCTTCAAGAAGTTTTCTTCATCTTCTTCAACCATACAGCAGGCATCCAAGGGTTTGTGCCTCTCTGAAAGAATGGGAAAGAAATTATGCTGCTATTAGCCAAATGCCATAGAGATTGATAATTGAAGATAACAGTAGATAAAAATTCTGTGATATATCAAGGCTAGAGACTAATAGAATAAGCTAATCAGTAAGGCAGACAAGAAACCGAAATGCCAAAGATTTTGACATTAATCTAACATGGAGAGAGCACAAAATACTTTTTGACTTAATTGTTCTATTGTACAAGGCCATTCATAATTCATCAGGACCATCATTATACTATAGAACTCAAAAAAAAGGACCTTTGGGAGTAATGAACGGGCGATCCCTTTTCACTGCTTTCTTTAGGGGCTCATGAATGCCGAAAATTTCAGAAAACTTTAAGATCGCCATCCCATCCTCCACACAAAGTATAGGAAGTGGTGCTGAACAGCCATCACCAGCTGGCTCTTCTGGAGCATTCTGTTCCTCCTGGTAAATAATTTGTAGCAAACGTACAATTATAAGTAACATAGCTGCACCAACAAAGCCGACACATGGGTTTTTAATTGCAAATCAACATGTTTGTAATTAGATGCTCAGAGGAGACAGCCTAGCATCATCAAGGGCAACAAGATTTAGGGTTGTTAAGAACATTTTGTCCTCCAGTGTTGATTACATTCCTTTCATAATAAGTTTTCTTTCATGAAAGAAAAGAAAACAGACAAAAGAAAGGAAGAGCAATGGCACTTTCAAGTCATTATGAATGAAGGATATCATTCAAACACATAAAAAATGGAGAAAAGCAATACTCAAAAAGTACCAATTGGCTGGCAAAGATGTCAGATGCTTCAAAAACATGAGCTATAAGAACTTAATCATTTGAATTCAGGGAGACGGAAAAACTAAATCTAATCATTGAATGAGATTTGGATTGGATAATGTTCTGATATACAGATTTCTAACCTCCCCGGCGTCCACCACTTCAGCATCCAAATTTTCAGAGTCTAGTACATCTCTAAAAAGAATGTCTTCTTGGATTTCTTTCTCTAGTAATAGCACTTCATGACCACTAATTTGCTCACCTGCAAGTGGACATTAAATTGAAAGGATGAATTTAAATGCAAAAAAAAAATTATTAAAGTGGGTTAACAACTTACAAAAATAGGATCCTTCCTTGTGGGACTTATTATTTAGCACAAATCATTGTAGTCGTGATGGTGATTAAACAAAACTATGGACAGTTGCATAACCTCCATTACCCAAAAGATTACGAAATAGCTGAAGGATTAATTAATCACTCTAGACTTGATTAGTTTATTTTGATCTATTAGCTCCATTACCTAACATTGGGTCAGACAGCACATAAATCCAAAAGAGATGGATGGATACATCTTCATTTGAAAATTCTATCCCCACCCAAAATAATCAAGTCTATAATTTACAGTTGCTTAACTTTCCTTATAATTCTAAGCGTAGCTTTCCAATAATTAATCACTGGAATAACAGTAATTTAACTTTGGGTGAACTAGAATCGTATTAAATCTTGAGAACTAATAAAGTCTGATTAATTTTTGGTGCCGGGCATTGTCTAGCCATCAGAAGTTATTTTTCTAAGTACTGCTTGAAAAGCAGAGGAACTGCAATACTATGAAAGTCTTAATTTAAATTTAAAACTTTATTGACAGTTCTCATTTGAAGCAATAAAATATACACATAGATGCAGGTAAAAAAAAAATATCAGATATATGAAATACACAAATATAATTCATACACATACCTATATGCATACCTACAAGTATATCTTTACACAGATCAAAATACACCTAAAGAGAGTATTGGTAGAGTTAGATGAGTTAGATCACACATTTCAATATGTTCAGAAGATAGCCCGTGTTTACCCTACAAAGTATAAAATCTCAATCAAGACCTTTTTCTGCTCTCATGAAATAAAAATGCAATTCATCCATGGAGAATTTATAATGCACTTTCAGAAGTTCTACAATCTTTTTGAAGTTAGTAGGAATAAAAACTGTAATAATTCACTAAATTATACTGCCAAATCAACAAAACGCTGAATAGATACACATAAACTTCACAGGCCAGACACATACGGTAGCTGGGCACAGCAATTGGATCACCATAAGAATAAAAATTGAAGGGAGCAGTAAAATTAAATGACAAATATTGGACGATCTATAGAATTTAGGAGGACAAAAATCAATGGACAATGCAGGCAAACCCAGCCCTACATGCAGACACATACCCCTCAAGCCCTGCTATTGATGCTTTTCGACTTCCGTTCCTTGGAAACTTGTCCTTCTGATCTAGTTAATATTAAGGAAAGCATGGTATCACAGAATCAAATTTCAAACAACTTTTATACAATTGAGAAGCCATTACAAATCATATTGAGCTCAGCAATACCGAATTAACAGTCTTGAGATACATAATGATCCACAAAGTTTAAAATGCAGAGTAGAAGGGCATGGAATATGCAAATCTCAACAACAGAAGATCATAATGAAAATAGAGCACATAATATTCTATCTAGGGTTACAAAGGTTATGAGCTAAAAATTTAAACCTGGAGAATGAAAAGGTTGATGTACATCACTATTTTCCACCTCCTTGTGTTGCTTTTCATCTTTGTCTTCGTCTTCGTCTTCTTCTTCATCGTAATTTTCATCATCATAGATAGAAGCTGCATTCTCCAAAGTAGATGCTGCAACTTCTTTGGAAAGATAACTTTTCCGCAGATAGTCCTCCTCTGTAACAGCTTGGACTTCTGGTCCTTCATACTGCTCGTCGATATCTTCATAATCAACAGCATCTTCTGCCTTCTCATCATAATCTAGTTGAGATGAAGGTAGAGAACAACACAGAATCAGAAACTCGCCTTACTTCAAGAGGACAAATATGGCTTTTCCTCACATGTTACAACACTAAGAACACCCCAAAGAGAATTTCCAATAGCACTAACGTTTGAATTAGATTCGTATTATAAAACAACTGGAAAAGAAAAACGAATACGATACTCATCAAATACCATTTCTCGACCTCAATGCCCTGTGCAAATTAAATAAGTAAAATAAAGTTGGTTTAATATGTTCCTCCTCAC